TGAGAGCTCAAAGAAGGCAATCGTAATGGAATTTAAAGACGATTTACGGTAAATTGACGATGGGCCATATCAAAACTTGTGGGATATGGCAAAGTCACATTTTTAAAAATTAGAGCCATTTGGGGCGCATTGGGCCGTGGAACCAGCAGGCGGAGGAAGGAGTCCCCGTACTGACCAGGGGCGACGGGGCAGGGAGGTTCAGTCCGTCATTGCACCACTGGGGAGGCAGTGTCTGGAGCTACAGTGATTCATGTGGGTGCCTCTCACCCACTTGTGTTTGCTTCCCCACTAGTCCCGGTGGATGGAACACTGAGGCAACCCATTGAAGACCGGACTTCTAGGAACTCAGGCCCCCTGTAAGAATGAACTCTTGGGCCATCCCACCCAATAAAGGCCCCTGTTTGACCAGCGCGCGGGCAGAGAGCAAGGGCGCGTGCCCTGGGCGGTGGGAGGGAGGAGCTTGAACTACAGCTGTGCCCAGCTGGGGATGCAGGAACGGCAGCGGCCGTGGGCGTGTTATTTAAACCACCGCCCTCCCACCACCTTGTATAAAAACTCCGGGGATGGCTCACCCTGAGGTCTTCCGTGAGAGTACATGTTGGTATTGCCTGGCGATATTGCTGTAGCTGATGAGTCTTTCCATGTTTGCTGCCCAGAGAACGTGGGACTTGTACTTGGATAAAGGATAAGAGTAGGTGGTGAGGGGCCCAATGGGTGGATCATGCCAGCTGTCTTCGCTTGGCCGCTCCCACCTAGCCTGCCCTCTACTCCACCCTGCTCTGCTGCGCCCGAGGAGGCCAGCCTGGGTGCATTATCACAGCCCCGTCCTCTGGCTTCCAGTTAGGTCTAGCAACGGGGAAACCTTCCCGCAGAGATCGGAGGGAGGAAGGAAGAAGAGGGTGGGGTATGTATTTCTCAGGTTCTCTCCTTGCAGTGACTTTGGGTCAACTGGGTTCCCCAAGCAAAGGTCACTGGTCCTCTCCCGGTGGCCTTCTCTGCACGACTCTCCCTTTCAGGTCTTGTGAGTGCGTCTTTGCTCTCTTCCTGTGGACCCGGGAAGGCAATGGGCCCATAGTCCTGTCTCTGGAATGCTGAGCTATGCTTTGTTCTTTTCCTACACATGGCCTCTCTCCTTGTAGTAGCTCCTTCATTAAACCCTCCTTGAATGGCCCCAACTTGAGGATGCTACTGTTTTCCTATTGGATGTTTGATTACGGGTCAGGAGCAGGGTTCTCCAATGAAGAAGCAGCAGTGTTGCAATTGATTCTTTTTTAATGAGTTCATCCAGGGATGTACCCCATTAATTTAGATTTCTCCCCAAGAAGTCTATTTCTAATTAGGTAATTTGCCACTACCTTCTACTCGCTGTTAACTGAGAATTGTTAACTGATCACGAACAGTCACCACATTACCAGTGAGAACGTTTTCATCTGTGTTCATGCCACCACTGGTGTCCCGATCACCAGGCAGCTCCTGCCTGCATCTCACACCACTCCGGCGAGCTCCCCGTCACGCAGGGGAGGAGTGATGGATGGATCCCAGACTCCAGCATCTTTCCGCCACCGGCTCCTCTAACTTATTCACACGTTTGGCTGATAAACGTTTTCTGCACGAATGAAGTTTTGTATCGTCACCTTTTCATTTGTCACAAAAAAAAGTCTTCCAATTTCGTACGGGAAGGTTCATTTTTCAAACACTCTCGTAGACAGAGTCTGTGCCAGCCCTTGGGGAAGGTTGATTTATCAGTATCATTCCAAACATTGGCAACTGTATCAATGGCATTCTTCAGACTGAACTCTTTCGGGAACTTGTGGAATTGTAGCAAGCACACAGTCTGCAGTAAGTGTTTATCCTCACGCTACAGTTCTTTGTTCAGGCTGCGATACACATATCTCACTGGGGAGAAATAAACGCTGAAACACTGCTTTTCACAAGTCCAGGAAGGAGGTGGACATAGCCATGTTCGGGGAATGCAGATAGCATCTCACACCGGGTGTTTTTCCAGCCCAGAGTGCCCGCACTGAATCAGCGCCAGTGACACAAAGTGGCTGCTAACCGATCGGTCAGAGAGCCTTTGTCTGGTGACTCCCTCCACCTCGTTTATGTGACAATGGGCAGTCAACTACGAGTGCTCCTCGAAGATGGCGGACATGGGCCTGTTCCAGGCCGCTCCAGGGGTGTCGGGGGTGTGCCCGCAGCACCCGGCACGGAGAACAGACACCGGGGAGCCTGGCGGTGGGCCTTGTCAGCTGCCCGGCGGAGCAGGTGCGTTCCCACGGTCGATGGATGGTGCCACAGCTGTCGTCGGGAAACAGAGCAAACCCGCTGACGCGGCTCCCAGCAGCCTTGCGATCAGTAAAACCATTCTCACCCCCGATGTTGGGTTTTCTTGCTTCAGTTAAACATAAAGTCAAAAACCATTCCCTAAAAGCAACAAAATATAAGAGAACCACAGTGGCCAGCGTGGCTGGTAAGCATAACTATTCCGTTTAGGGTTAGAAACTGCCACTAAATGAGTTTCGGTGCCAAGTTTACACAAAAATAGACCGTGAGTCTCCTGGGCTGCCCCCGAGCCGTCTTTTGCTTGGTAGTTGCCAGAAATATGTTTTCCATGCCTCTACTTCCAGGGCGTCCGTGTCGTCACGTTCTGTGGCCCCCGTGTGGGTGACCCGTACGCGGACTTGGTTGTTTCCACCCGATCTGACAATCTTTTCGTCGGTGCTTGGAGTCCACATGGGCTCACAGTGCCAACATCGCTGACAGATTTGGACTTTGATATATTTGTACCAACTAGCCTTTCAAATCCGTCTTTTTTCCTCTCTTGCCTCTTTTTAATGGATCTCTCTTTTTCTTACCAATTTTGATCTAAATATTGAGAAATACACATGTTCTGTTTCTATTCTCTGAATTATTTTCATTGAAATGTTACCACACACATTTTATTTGGTGAAGTCTAATAGTTAACAGTTTTTTTAAACTCTGCTTGTGAATAGTCTAAACACCTTAGAATATTTTAATTCTGCCTTCCCAATGCCATTGTTGTTATTATTTTCAGCGTCATCCAGTATTTTAGTTCTGCCTTTTTTTTCAACCTGACAAATTAGACACTATGATTCCTTTGTACTGAGAATGTTGGCTTGAATTTACCTACACGTGGATCGGAGAAGCAGGACCGCTGGGAATGATACCACGAGAGATCTGCTTTGAGAGTTCAGTCTTCCTCCACTGTGGGGGCCGGTTAAACCGTTTACATGGTGCCATTGCGCCTGTGTGAGACCCGCCAGCCAGACAGGCAGAGATGGCAGATGCACGTGAGGCGAGAGAAGCAAAGACAACTGTAACCTGCAGGCGTGACCTGGCCCCACGGAGACAGACTGTAACCGGGTCAGTCTCTCACCGCCTCCGAGACTCCAGGGAGCGTGGCCTGCGGAAGGAACTGGTGCACGTTGTCACGGAGCTACACACGCGCCTGGCCCAGGAGAAGGAGAACCCACGGGAGCCGGAGCCTGACTTCGAGGAGGTCCCTGAGAAGTCCGCTCATCACTCGAAGTGTCACTCTTTGGGGGTGCTCTGAGGACCTTCTCCTCTGACTTTCGCATTCTGAAGTTTCAGAATGTGAACCAGCAGACGAGCAACAATGTCCGCAAGTTGAAACACAGTGTCTCAGCTGAACTGAAAAGGAGTTGCCCGCTGCCTCCCGCTGGTTTGCCTTCTAAATCTGTTACCAAATGTCTCCGATCCCCCGATCCCCCGTGCCAGTCTGGATCCGCACGGGAAAGGGAATTCTTGGAAGTCCAGTCCCAGCCAGGCGAAGTCAACGGACTACAGACCCACAATACAAATCCACGATACAAAGAAATTACCATTGTCTTCGCTTATCAATCGTTCTTGTGTCTGACTATTGATTCTTCGAGGAGGACTCACATTCCTTCCTCTGGAAGAAAGTGCTTTAAAGATGCTTTTAGTTCAGGTACCTTGGTAGCAAGTGCTCCGTTTTTATCTGTACTTGTCTTCGTTTCATCCTCACTAATGAAAGATGACTTTACTGAGTATGTCATTCTTTTTTAAAAGAGTCTATTTATTATTAGAGAAAGGGGAAGTGAGAGAGAAAGGGAGGGAGAGGAACATCAGCGTGTGGTTGCCTCTCATGCACCCCCTACTGAGCACCTGGCCTACAACCCAGGCATGTGCCCTGACTGGGAATTGAACCAGGGACCCCTTCAGTATGCAGGCTGGCGCTCAATCCACTGAGCTACACCAGCCAGGGTGTGAGTTTATAATTCTTGATTGAAAGTTATTTGGGTGCAAAAACTTGAAGCTATAACCACATTGACTTTGGCTTCCATTGATGCTATTGATAAATCTGCTTACGATTCTAATTGTTTTTTTTTTGTAATAATCTCAACTTTTTCTGACTGTTTTTGAGACCTTCTCCTTGGCTTTGGTGTTCTGCAGTTTCAAAATGCTGTAGCTGGCTGGGCACCAGTTTTTATTTGCCCAGGCTTGCTTCTCGTACCCACAGATTTCAGTGTTTCATTCCTTTTGAAATAGTACATCTGCCATCTGTTTAAACACTGCTTCTTCTTCATTCTCCATATTTCCTCTTCCCAAGACTCTGATTTTAAAAGAACTTTTGTTATGTCATTCACACCTCAACCTCATTGCCATGTTCTCTACCTACATGCCTCTCTGAGTTATATTGTGGGTAATTTCTTTGGTTTTACCTTCTAATTCACCAGTTTCTTTTTCTCTGCCTGCGTGCAATATGCTATCCGACTCATCCACTGAATTTTCTGTTTCAACAGATTTATGCACACACACACACCTATACACAGGTGTATGTATTAGTGTACATATACGCACTTGTATGTTTATATATATATTCTATCTTTCCTTTGTAAATGTGCCTGGTCATTCTCGTTAGCTTGTTCATTGTGATGATTTTGTTCCTTATTTCTTGAAACATTTTAGCCACGGAGTTCAATAACCCATAGTCCCCGGGACTCTAAAGCAATTGTTTATTGTTACTGCGTGTTCTCACTCACAGAAATTTGTTGATTTTGACAATAAGCTTCATCTTAATCTGCGTGACTCACATCATCCTAAACTGGGAACAGTGTACTTGGGGTGGGGGGACTTTTTCCTTCTTCTGCTTCTGTCACTGTCCCAGGATCACCTCGTCCCTTACCCCCATGGCCTTGACCTCACACAAGAGCCCCCGGTCCGGACTCCCCACCACAGGGCCTCCCCAGGGCTCAGCGTTCCAACAGCAGCATCTCCTCTGCGTTCCAGAACAATTCCAAAGTGAGGCCACGTGGATTCTGGCCCCAGCCCGGGTCATGGGTGGGAGGGGGAGAGTGGGAGGCCATTGGGGACCCCCACCCCGTCTTGCGAGGCTCTTTGCGGGGTGTGTCCCGTGCAGGGGGCAGTTGTTTTGCAGCAGCTGGAGTTCTCCGTGAATCTGGCCAGGCAACGCGTTAGAAGCCGAACGATCGGATTTGTGTGAACAGACGCCGCGAGGTCCGTTTAGTCTTTCTTAAACGGGCGTTCCCGCAGGTGTCCCCGCACGGCCCCCAGGGAGGGGCACCGCCGGCTCAGGGGACTGTGTTGTAGACCTTGTAGTCGTCCCTCTGGGTGATGTGCAGCTTCCAGGGGAAGAGGCGCTTCTGCGCGGGGAGGGCTCGGGCCTGCTTCACCATGAGCCTCACGTCCTCGTCCGAGAGCAGCCGGACCAGGTCCCCGTCGGCGTCCTGGTAATTCAGGGCGATGTCCTCCTTCTGGAACTCCCGCCTGGGTGGGGGAGGTCGGGGTGAGTGAGCGGCCGGTGGCCGAGGGAGTTTCGGGGGCTGGGCCTCCACGTCGGAAGAAGTCAGAGCTCGACAGGGGCCTGAGCACCTGCGTGGTCCAACTCCCACCGCGCAGATGGGGAAACAGACCCCCGGCGGAAGGGAACCCCACGTTAAATTAGTGACGCAGCCCGAAGTGTCTTGTGTGGAAGTGTGCTGGGCACTTAGGAACTGCCGTGGGGAAGAGGAGTGGGTTTGGCCGGGTACAGCGCAGAGCAGAGCAGAACAAAGCCCACAAGACACCTGCGTGAGGCTGTGGAGGCCGGGACCACCTGATATGTGGGGGGGTACAGGCAGGTGGGCACGCTTACTACCTGGGGGTGCACAGGTAGATGGCTGGTCTGAGCTTTCTACGGGTAGTCGGACAGAATGAGTGGAAAACATAAATGATTTGCAAACCCCTTGGTCCCAGACTCCCAACTCCTGGGAACTCATCCTAAGGAAATAATCGGGCAAGTCACCAAACATGTGACACGATATGATTTACGGTAGAAAGCGGAGGATAACTTAAAAGGCCAACGAAAAGGGATGGGCACATTAATTAAGGCGCATCCATGGAATGATCCTGTGTAGCCAGTTGCAGGGAGGTGTATGCGGGGGGTGGGGCAGGGTGCGCCCCAAAGCAATCTGAGTGAGCACCAGACAGGGAGGGAGAGGAGCAACGCTGCGGGGTGGTTCACTCGTCGACGCCTTCCTGTGATTTCCGACGTGTGTAAGAACAGTGAGCAGGCATTACTTCAGAGTCAGGAAGGGAACAGCGCCCTCTCCCTTCTGGGGAAGAACCGTCCAACCTGGGTCCCGGGAGTCGGCAGCTCCCTGGTGGTGGAGGACCCAGCTTCGGGGTTTTTACCTAAGGAGACCTCAGCTGCAGCTGCACGCCTATGCTCACACACTGTGGGGCCTCACCCAAGCACCCGGACCTCTCTGCAGCAGCCCCACCCCCAAATGTAACACGGGGCGCTGACCCCCACTCTGCAGGGCTGGGGTGGGGGTGGAACGAGGAGGCAAACCAGGTACAGAGAGCACCTGGATGCCTCGTGTGTCTCCTTCTGGTTGCTGCTCCAGGGAACAGGACCCACCCCACCCCCACCCCGCCCCCCACCCCACCCCTCACCTCATGAGCTCCAGCAGGTCCTTGAAGAGTGGAGTGCTACTCAGGTCTTCCTCCACGGCGATGTCCCTGCAGGGACAACAGGAACGGGTGAGGAGGCGTCAGGCCGGAAGGGGGACATGAGACCGACCCTGGCCAGGCCACGAGGGACCCTGGCATCCTGGCATGGCTTATCTGGAGGACGGGGGGGGAGGGGCCACTGCAGGCTCTCAGTGTGTCGGAGGAGGGCGCTGGGGGGTCAACATAACATCTGATTCGGGTCTTGGGGCCCAGAACGTGATATGGAGGTGGGAGTGGGGGTGGGCAAGGAAGGTGGACAGGCTCCGCCCACAGGCCACGAACTTGATGGTGCTGATGGTGTCCTCGTAGTAATAGCAGCGCAGCCAGTTGGTGGGGTCGTCCTCCTCGGGGAAGTCCTTGAGGATCTTCACGAAGGACAGCGGGAAGATGCCTGTGGCTCCCCGGACGGTGCCCTGAGGAGGAAAGACAGGGCCTCGATGTCAGCGTGAGGAGAGGCGGGGGCGCCACAGCCCGGGACGCCCATTCCTTCCTCACGGCCGGGAGAGGCAGGCGAGGTGTGGGCTCCCTGATGCAGAGGGACGAGAAGAAGCGGCAGGGGTCACCAGGCTGCACACCCCATAGGGAGTTCCGTTTCAGAACAGACGGAGATCTGAACTTATCGGGGAGTCTATCATCTTTCATTCATTCACTCACTCACTCCTTCCTTCCTTCCTTCCTTCATTCAAAGATTTCTTGAGCGCCAGCTGGGGCTGGGCACACAGAATGAATGAATGGAAGCCCTTTGTCCTCTCTCATGGAACTTCCACTGTAACGGGCAGGGACGCCGTGCAGGTGCACAGGTGAACTCCGTGCTGAGGCAGAATGCGGTGGGTGTTAAGGTGGCAGATAGAACAGGGGAGGGAGAAGGGGTGTGGTCCCCACCCCTGCATTCATTCCCCAGATACCACCGGGCACCCGCTTCAGACGGAACGGCCAGAAAACCTCCCTCTGCCGCCCAGGCCTCTCGCCCAAGGCCCAGCCACTGCCTGTGCCTGCGTCTTCACAGCCCCAGGGAGGGTGTCACTTACGGCCCATTTCACAGATGTAGAAACTGAGGCTCAAAGTAGTCTCTTTGCATCTCGCCCGATTCTCCCCTCAACCTGAGGCCAGAAATTGGCCAGCATACCGACACAAAGAACTTTCCAGAAAACAGGAAGGCAACAAACATTTCCTGTTTCTGGAGAACAGCCCAAGATACCCCATCGGGAAGCTGTCAGAGCTGATAAAAACCTATCACGCAGGGTTCCAGGCCGGGGGCAGGGCGGGGGTGGGGGGGAGGGTATCAAAACTGCCAAGTCGGTGAGACTGATGGTCCTCGTCCCTCTCCTGGCCTGGATGCCGGGGACCCTCCCCAGCCCTCAGTGTTCACCTGGGGACCAATCCCATGACCTTCGGACACCGCCGAGCTGAGAGAAAGGAATCTCACTTAAAAGAACAACAGCCCGTGACCTCCCGTCTCCACTCCTGAGACACTGTGTGCGCCCTGACACGCGCCCCGCTCGCTGGGTGCGGGGGCAGAGCAATCACCACGACCAGCCCTGGCTCCGGAGTCCATTTAACTCTCTCAAGGGCCCTGGCGCCGGCCGGGCGCCGCACACCCAGGCGGAGGAGCGCCTGTGGGCCGAGCCCCGAACAGCTCCGCCTCATGTCTCTCTTCCCGGAACCCTATGAAGAAATAGCGGCATCGCCTCCATTTGCAGAAAAGGAAACCACAGGGTTGAGCAAGTTTGCCAAGGTCACGAAACTAGTTAAAACCAGAACAAGGCCAGACACCAGACGGGCGGACCCCAGAGCTCAGGCCCTTCCTTGCTCCCGTCTCGCTGCCCGCGACGGCCGTGATGTCACCATCCCGGGTCACAGGGCAGCGCACGCCTCTCAGCGGCCGCCCAGGGACAGATTTGCCTGCCGCACCGGAGGGCTGCGGCTGTCACCTAGTGGGCGGACAGCACGGGTGTCGCTGAGAACCCGCGAGGTGCGGGCCCGCCCCGCCCCAACGACGAAGAGGGGCGGGGCCGACGTCAGCGGTGCCGCAGCTGAGAAACCTCGTCACAGAGCAAGACCTGAAACTTGTCTCAAGCAACCGTTTCTTGGGGCACACAGAATGCAAGGCAAGTGTGGGCTCCAGAGTCACCTAACCAACCACACACCTGTCTCCCCAGCGTCTGCATTCCCTGAGGCTCCGCCCACCGCCGCCAGGGCTCCGGACCTGTCACCCCCCAGCTCCTCCGCGGGGTCCTCCTTGCCCTTCCTCGTTCTCTGATTCCCTCGCCAGACCAAAACGATCTCACTTCCACTCTCACCTCCACCCTCACCTCCACCCTCATCTCGCCCTCACCTCCACTCTCACCTCCACCCTCACCTCCACCCTCACCTTCATCACTTCTAACCTCACCTCCACCCTCACCTCCAAACTCACCTCCACCCTCACCTCCAAACTCACCTCTCACTCTACCTCACCTCCACCCTCACCTCCACCCTCACCTTCACCCTCACCTCCACCCTCACCTTCATCACTTCTAACCTCACCTCCACCCTCACCTCCAAACTCACCTCCAGCCAGTCTTTGTTGACCCGACTGAGGAGGAAGATCACATCTCCAGCTTTCAGATTCAGCTCCAGTTTGCTGTTCCCAGTGAAGTCAAACAGGGCCTGGAAAGAAGGGTGTGGTAAGGCAGGAGGGAGGAACACCCACTGAGCTCCCACTTAAGTGCTCACTTTGATGTCCCATTTAACAGGTGGGGAAACTGAGGCTCGGGAAGAATGAGTGACTTGTTTAAGGCCGCTCTACCAGCCATCGGAGGAGCTGGGATTAGAACCCAGGTCTCCGTGACTCCAGAGTGGGAGCTCCTTCTGCAGCTGCAATGAGGATGGGAGGAAGGAGCCAGCCTCCCTGGACCCAGCACCTTCCCGGGCCCCCCAGGCCTGTGTGGGCTCTGGCACTCCCATAATCCCCAGCCACTGACCACCCCGGGTCTGAAATGCGTGTCTTTATGTGTGTGTCCTCAGGGAGTCGTGGGCTCCTAAGGGACAGGGCTTGTCTGTGTCACCTCCAAGGTGTTAGTCCCCAAGCAGGGCTGGCCCAGAGGGGCCGGGAAAGCTGGCTGAATGGGTGGTGGGTGGACACGTTCTCTTCTGCCTCTGTGTGCTTGGCATTGCCCCCCTCGCAGCTGGGCTGGGGTCCTCGGCACCCAAGGCTGAGGCTGCGTCTCCTCCTGTCTCTTCCTCCGGCAGCACCCAGCCCTAGACACCAGCCCACACTCAGCAGGAGGGGCTCCGAGGGGAGGGGGAGGGGCAGGCCCACAGGTACCTCTGCTTTTGGAGCTTCCAGGCGGTCTAGGGTGGCACCTTGCAGGGACTCACTCTTGCTGTGGAGAGAAAAGAGCGGTTGTCAGCCCCCTGGTTCTCTCAGGCCCAGCCCTCTGCTTCTGAGCCAGAGGCCAGAAAGGCAGGAAGGAGAGCATGTTAAAGATGCGGGTACAATTGCTCCTGTGGGCATCACACCCGGCCCCGCAACGCACCTCGGTTCTCACGGCCCCTGGAGGGGAGAGCGTGCCCTGTGTGGACCAGGAAGCAGGAGCTGAGAGAGGAGGGGGGTGGGGACATCCACCTAGGGCCATAACCTGCCAGAGGCTTCACACCTGTTCTTCCTTCCACTCCCTACACCCAGCCGCTGAAGCCGTGTGACTATTCTAACACTGCAGCGGAGGACACAGGCTTGCAGAGGGGACACGCCCTGCTCCAGGGCCCAGGGCTGCCCTGTGTCCGGGATGAATTCCTGCCTGGGTGCTCAGGAGACACGGCCGGGCACCCGGAGGTGCTGGCTGGAGGAAGGAGGGGCAGTGGGTGGGGAGGCCAGGGCCCAGGAGTACTGCCCCCGGACTCCAGGCAGCAGCGAGCTCGCCTTTGGGCCCCCAGCACCCACCAACTCAGTGGCCTGCAGTTTCAGTGATTACTTCCTGTGGGACAGAGCTGACCTCTTCTCCTTCCCTTCCTCCTGGGGAAAGCGGGAGCTGGGGCACCTGCTTAGGAGAAGGGGCCCTGGCTCTGGCCCGGGGGGGCTGCAGGGACCCGGCACTCACACTTTCCGGGTGCGCGGGCGGAGCCGGCGGAGAGCCTGGGGCACCTGCTCTGAGTCGTAGGGCGACTGATAGAAGAAGATCCGCACGTCCTCGTCCATCAGCACCCAGATGGGCAGGCTGAGGAGGCTCTGCACGTGGGGGAGAGGGCGGGGCGGGCGGGAGGTCAGCAGGAAGGCCCGCCCAGGCGTCCCACCCCAGCTGCTCCGCCCCACGCCAAACCCCTCTTCTCTGTCTGGCAACAAAAGCCAGGTATATTTTAACAGTTTCAGTAGGCTAAGGTAACATCTCCCAAGCTTTGCCCCTGGGTTCAAGGTCAGGAGGGGCCAACTGCCTTGAGAAGAGCTCATCTGGAGAAGACCAAAAGGCCTCCAGCCATGGCACTAGAGGGGGTGCCAGGCGATGTGATGCGGTGGCGGCTGCCCTGCATTGCCCTGAGTGCCGCACCGTGTGACCTCACTCCATCTTCTGGTGACCTGCGAGTCAGGGTCACAAAGGTGAAGGGACCTGCCTGAGGCCACACAGTGTACTAAGTGACAAAGCTGGAGTCCCCAGGGCCATCTGCCACCAAGCCCCATCATCCCTTAGCTCCATATGAGACAGTAACGGGGGAGGAATAACCCAAATAACCCAAATGAACAACAGTTGGTGATATTCTGGCCTAAACACGTTACCTCATACCACAATTGGGGAAACTGAGGCTTGGCAGGGCTAGGACGTGGTGGGGTCAGCACCCTCCCTTGATCGCGGGCTGGTTATACCGCCCCAAGGCAAAGGCCGTGAGGGGTGAGGACCCAGAGCCTGGCAGGGTCCCGCGATGCACACGTCACAGGTCCCCACCCTCAGCCGCACACCACACGGGGCCCCGGGAGCCCTGTGGTTGTAGCTCTGCGTGCCGCAGCCCTACAGGCAGCCAGCAGCCAGACCTCCTCAGAAAATCCCACAGAGGCAGCAAGGCGGGAGGAGCCGGGAACTGTAACCGGACGGACTGGGAACTCGGAGCCTGGGAAAGACGCAGCTGTCGTAGGGGAGGGCTGGACGGCTGCCCAGAGCTGGGTCTCGGGGCGCAGGCGCAGAGCCAGGCTGCCCCGGGCTTGGGCTTCAGCGCTGCCACGCACTGGCTGGGTGAGCCTCGGCCTCCACATGCCCATTCATAAAATGGGGATGGTAACGGCATCTCCCTCGGGGGCTTGTGTAAGGAATAAATACACGAGCACGTGCACAGCCCTTAGAACGGCACTGGGCATCTAGCAAGTGACCAAGGGAGCTATCCCATCACAGCTGTTGTTCCTATTACAACACAGCACCGTGGATAAGAGCACAGCCCTAGCATCTCAGGGATGTGAGTTCGAATCCCATCCCTCCTACCTAACTGCTCTGTGACACTGAGGGAGCAACTCTGACTCTCTGTGCCTTCTTTCCTCGTTTCAAAATAGGAACAATAGTACCTAACACACACGTTATCGCAGGAGCTATCAAAAAACAAGCCCATTCATTCACCTGCCAAGTGCACACCTAGAGCCTCCCTGTTGCTAGTCAGAGTGCCTCCCACATGGTCCTGGGGCATCGTCATTATCACGTGACCCGCATTCTCCATCAGGCCAGAGGTGAGAGCAGTGGGTGCTGGCTTTCCTAACAGCTATCCAGCAATGGGGTGAGCAGCCTAGGTCAGGGGGAGTGGTAGTGAGCTCCCCGTCTCTGCAGGTGTGCAAGCACAGGATAGGGTTACCATAGCAGATCCCTGCACAGGTTGACCTCTGGGCTTGAGGAATCAAGTTGGACATGGATGGGCAGAGATGGGACCCTCCCCGCTGCTGGCTGCTGAGGGCAGGTGTGGGGTGGACAGCCCCGGCTCTGCAGCCTCTTTTCTCTCCCCACAGAGCACACGCTCCTCTTCCAGCTCTTTCAGAGGAGGGTGGGGCTTCCAGCTGCCCCCTGGGAGCAGCTGTCACAGCGCCCCCTTGAGAGGAGATGCCTCCAGTGCTGGTTCCTGCAGCCACCAGGGAGGACCCGTGGGCCACCTGCTCGCTCCTCCCATGTCCTCTGCACCCTCCTAGCCTTCGCCCCACCAGGTTCACAGTTTCCAAAGCACTTTCATGTCCTTTTCTCTGCGGACCCCAAGGCCACTCCTATGAGACTGGAGAGCTGGGTGTGCCGCCTTGCTTCATAAGAAGGAAAACCAAGTCCCGGAGAGGACGGGCAACTCGCCCCAAATCACCAGAGCAAAGACCAAAGAGACTCCTAGCGCGGTGCTCTTCAGTTGTGAGAGCGGAGAGGCGGGTGAGCCCCCTGTCTGTGAGCGTGCCGCTGGGCTATGAGGAGGGCTCCCTTCTCCAGTTCCTCTTCTATTTAAAGATCTTATTTATCTTTAGACAGGGGAAGGGAGGGAGAGAGGAAGAGAAACATCAATGTGTGGTTGCCCCTCATGCGCCCCCTACCGGGACCTGGCCTGCAACTCAGTCACGTGCCCTAGACTGGGAATCGATCCCATGACCCTTTGGTTAGGCACTCAGTCCACACCAGCCAGGGTCTTCTCCAGTTTCTTGAGGTTGCCGGCAAGCCATGGCTTGTATGCCTCTAATGACGGGGTGCTCGCTACCACACGAGGAACATTGTCCCTTTCTGGCCCAGCTCTGTTTGGTGAAAGTCCTTTTCTTTTTTTTGTAAAGATTTTATTTATTTATTTTTAGAGAGGGGAGGGAGAAAGAGAGAGAGAGAAACATCAATGTGCGGTTGCTGGGGGTCATGGCCTGCAACCCAGGCATATACCCTGACTGGGAATCAAACCTGCGATGCTTTGGTTCGCAGACCGCACTCAATCCACTGAGCTATGCTAGCCAGGGCTGAAAGGCCTTTTCTGACCAGCCCAGCTTCTGCCTTTAAGATGCTCCTTCCTCAGTCTCCCCCACCTCCTAAGGCTGCAGACAATTTATAAGTTGGGGAACATAGGAGGGCACCAAGCCAAGGCCCATGAATGCAACTAATACCCAGCCTGCGCCCTGACGAGGGGGGGCCTTTCTCCAGTTTGCACAAAGGTGCTGTGTGGCAGAGCTGGGGCCCTGGCCCGTCGTGCCGCTGCTCTGTAGGCCAAGTCTGTGATGTCATGACCCACCTGACCTTTCCCCTGGGCAGGCACCGGCCCCACTCACCGCTGCGTCAGAACGCCCGGCACTGACATTGCAGTTGTCCATTCAAACCGTGGTTCCCTGGACCTTCCCCACTGCTCCCGTGCCCTCCCCCCGCCCCGCCCCGCGCCCTGGATCCCTGAGAACACATCCTGCTTCTCCCCGCAGGCCAGGCCTTTAAGGACTGAAGGTGCGGTCCATCAGAGCGAGAGAGCCAGCCCCAGGTCCCAAAGCTACGCTCAGAGGTGGTCCCTGGGCTCCTCCCCGCCCCCCACCCCGCTCCCCACCCCGCCCCCTGCCCCTCCCAAGCGCCCTGGGGGCCCCGCCCCGCCCCGCCCCGCGGTTACCTTCATGTAGGCGTTGAGTGCAGGTATCCTGGCCTCAGCGATCTCCTGTTTCACACCCACGTAGACTTTGGCTGAGGAGAAGCACAGCGTGTCCTCCCCATTGGTCCGAGCTCCTCCCCTCCCCTTTCCACCGCGCCGAAGTGGCCTCCCCGCACCGTCCCGCCACCCGGCTTGCGCTCCCCGAGCTGCCGCATCGCCCGCTGATGTTTTTTCCTTGTTTTGGCTGTTCCCGCGTTGCCTCACTGCACCCCCCACCCCCGCGCACAAGGGATTCTTAGCTCCAAGAGGCAAAGTCTCTGCTTTGCTCGCAGCTGGACCCTCTGCACCGTGGCCACACATTCCAGCCGCCCAAGGAGCCTCAAAACCCTCACCGTGCTGGATTCGCTCTAGAGCGATTGGATCGGAACGGCTAGGGGTGTGGGCCTCGGGCATCAGGATATCTGAAATACTGCATGACTTCCAATATGCCGCCCAAATTAAGAGCCACGGGTCTAGAATATTGCCCAAATCAACCAATATTTGTTGAGCGGATGAAGGAATCTTTCTTTAAAAGCATGATGGAGTGTTTGGGGGAGAGTTGGAGTGTGAGGGGTGGCCGACCAGAAACCAATGTCCTCTCCGGGAGCCTCAGGTGGGGCTCCGGTGGGACTGCCTACCCAGAGACCCCCCTGACCCCCACCAGAGCCGGGGATCTACAAGGAGACATTGGAGGAGCCGCCGGTGAGGCAGAGAGGGGACTGGCAGACACCGGTGTCACAGAAGCTCGGAGAGAGCTCCCTGGACGAGGAGGCAAGACAAGGAAGGCGAGGCCTGAGCTGTGTCAACGTTAACAGGCCACAGGCCACCGTCCTGCAGTGGGGGGTGAGGAGGGGACACAGTGCAGCAGGAAGAGCGGAAACCCAGGCGGTGGGGGCCGGGGAGCAGGCGGGAGATGAGAGGGGGGAGAGAGCAAGCGAAGGTTTATTGTGAAAGGAAGGAAAGGAGATCTCTGAAGGCTCCTGGGGCTCAAGGAGGCCGGTTGCAAGAACGCTTACCTGCGGCCCGGGTTTATTCAGAGATGGAAGAGGGCGGAGCCTGTGCAGCAACGTGGCCGAGTCCAGGCAAAAGGGAGAAAGTGCATGAACAGGGAGCATGCAGGACAAGCTGTCAGGGGGAACCCCAAAGGGAGGGGGGTTGGATGCAAGCAGGAGAGACCCTCCTTCCTCTGCAGCCCAGAGAGGGGGAAGCGGCAGGTGCAAGCAAATCCAGCTCCCAAGGAGGACAAGAGAAGCCAGGAGCCGCTGGAGGCGGCGTCAACTCCTCCTGGAGCTGGGTGAGGAGGAACCGCGGGCATTGGCCCAGACAGACAAAGTAAGAGCTGGTAGAGGTGGGGTTTGAGCTTGAAGAAGGGAAGGGCAGGAAGGGCTCCATGTCTGGGGGACAGATGCGTGCATGAGGCTGCAGGGCCTGGAGGGACCTCGGGACCACGAGGGTGGGGGTCTCTCCCATAGGGGTCAAGTGGGCAGGACTGAGAGGTGGGAGGTTCGGGCTTGTTGGAGGTGCAGGTTAGGCTCAAGCTGGGGAGGAAAGCCAGGGGGCAGCAGGGCACTGGACTGTCCGGAAGCACAGGTGTGACGCGCACAGGCTCCCAGCAGAGCGGGAAAGGGGGGTCCCGTGAGGCCGGCGGGGGCCCAGACTGCAGAGGTGGAGGGCAGTTCTCCCGAGGGAGGCCTGGACGGTGTCTGTGTGTTTTACTAGGGAGACACCGAAGGCCTGACTCGGGGCAGAGAGGCCGGTGCTCACGTGCCCCACACCATGGCCACGGTCACTGGTGGATGGTGGACGCCGTAAAGGTCAGTGGGCCGTAGGAAGCCAAGGGCTAGGAGGCAGGAGAGCGAGAAGGCAGCCCGTGACTGCCGGGAGGGGGGCATGGACGCAGTGAGTGCATTACACATGGGTTGGGGCAGACCGGCCCAACCGCGCCAGCACAGCCGGCAGGAGGGCCGATGGACAGGTCCGTCCACGCTGCCGCAGCGGGGCTGGGGCCGGCCTACCTGGGAGGACAGGCAGGCTGCAGGTCAGCGGGCTGGTCTTGCTGTCCGGCCCGTACCGCTCCTCCAGCTTGCTCTGCAGGGCGTAGAACTCGCGGTAGCGGCGGTAGATGAGGTACTTGGAGCCCCCTTTTGTCTTCACCTCGATGACGAACACCTAGGACAGAGGCCGGGGGTGGGCCCTCGGAGGCCGGGGACAGAGAGCAGGGGGGTCCCGAGGGCCTAGGGCTGAACAGGGTTCCTCAGCCTCAGCAGGACAGGCCTCGCTGGGGGCGGTCCTGGGCACGCAGGGCATGAGGCAGCCTGCTGGGCCTCCGCCCACCCCACCGGCCTCTGTCCCCTGAGTACCCATGGCACTCCTGCCCCCAAGTGGCAATAATCAAAGACGCCCAAAGGTACACGCTGCCACTGTCCCCTGCAGGGCAGACTCGCCCTGCTGAGAACTGCTGGGGGAAAGGTAAGAGAGGGGAGAGTTGAAGGTTCAGGGGTCAGAGGGGGAAGGTCCAGGGGTCTCTCTTACGAAGTGGCTGGTGAAGCCCCTCTTCTCCTCGATGTCGGCAATGTTGGCTGAGATGGCGACGTCATCGGGAAGCTGCTGAAAGTCGCTGAGGGAGGCAGGAAGCAAAGACGCGCTGGTTACCACCCTGATCTGTTCCCGGGGGCCCGTGGGGCAGAAGCAGTGGGCGACGTGAGCCCAGGGTGTGTCTGGCATCCCTCATTCAACGGCCCTTCCCGGGCCAGGCCAGCACGCACAGAACAGACCTCCGGGGGGAGGCATCTGGCATGGGGCCACAGAGCGACAGCTGCATGTGTATGAAAGTCTCACATGGCCTGCGACCGCGGGGCCCGGCCAGGACCCACGCTGCGAGCACCTCCTCTGCCTCGGACCCTGCTCTTGGCCCCGGGGTCACCAGGGTGGACAAGGCCAACACGTGCCCCACCGAGAGAACGGCTAATCACGCCCAGGTTGGGGAGATGTCACAGAGGAGGTAACATTTGAGCCAGGTCTAGAAAGACCTGGAATCCTCCAGGTAGGACATGCGCGAGGAGGGCCTTCCGGGCAGAGGGAACAGCGTATGCTAAGGTTCCGAGGCCGGAGGAGCAGTTGGATGAGGTCGGAGACCGAGAAGGCAGATGAGGCTGAGGCCAGCCGGAGGAAGGGCTCCGGGGCTGAGCTCCGGAAGTTCTATGGGCTATGGGGAGCCACATGAGGCTTTGGGTGAGAGTGCAAACGCAGTAGGACCCCAGCTCTGGGAGGCCACCGCAGGCAGCGGCGTGGAGAAGGGGAAGAGGGCAGAGGCTTAAAGGGACAGAGCACCACTGGGAGGCCCTGAAGCGCTCCAGTTGAGAGACCATGTGGCAGAGAGCAGGCGGGGACAGGAGGAAAGGACAGGAACAGGGGATACCACTCTCAGCAAACACTGTTTCATTTGTTGTGTCGAGTTTCTTCCTGCTCATCAGGCTCCAATTTGGCTTACGATGGCAAGAGGCCTAGCTCCAAGGTGATAGACCATGATTGGGCGGAGCCAAACATAGAGATCCCATTCCTGCCTCCCAGACTCTCTTGCAGCTAAGAGCAGCCACGTGACCAACGTGGCCAATGAGACCTAAGAAGGAATCTGCACAGGGGCCTTTCCAAGAGTGGTTTTTTTTTTCTTTCAAAAATTTATTTAGTTTCAAGCAAGAGGAAACGGCTTAACGCTACAGAACATTTCAAGACTTGAGTTTCAAAACAATACCACATTATTTGCACTTGTCATTGGCTTCCCTTTTTATGTAGGCTGGCCAGAGGAAAAAAAGGAGCTAGCATGTGGCTGAAAGGTAAAATAACCAAATTCTGTGGAAACCTTTAAAGTGAAAGGTGAGGCTTACTTTCAAGGATGAACGAACATATTTAGTAAACCTATTTTTCGTTTAACACTAGTTCATCAAAGTTTTTTCCCCCTTTTGATAACCTATTTTTTTAAAGATTTTATATTTATTTTTAGAGAGGGAAAGGAGGGAGAAAGAGAGAGAGAGAGAGAAACATCAATGTGCGGTTGCTGGGGGCCGTGGCCTGCAACCCAGGCATGTGCCCTGACTGCAATGCTTTGGTTCGCAGCCCATGCTCAATCCACTGAGCTATGCCAGCCAGGGCTGATAACCTATTTTTTTTCATATACAACTAGAAATAACAAAATTTTACCTCTTTTTTTTTCTTTCTGCCCAGGTTGATGCTTCCACAAAGTAGTTTTAAGTTCCATCCATCCAGATTTTAAGCATTTTGATTTATTTAAAGAGGGATCGTTCACCCTGGCTGGTGTAGCTCAGTGGATTGAGCTCGGGCTGTGAACCAAAGTGTCACAGGTTCGATTCCCAGTCAGGGTACATTCCTGGGTTGCAGGCCACGGCCCCCAGCAACCGCACATTGATGTTTCTCTCTCTCTCTCTTTCTCCCTCCCTTCCCTCTCTAAAAATAAATAAATAAAATTGAAAAGAAAAAAAAAAGAGGGATCGTTCATAGAAAAAAGTGCTTTGGACAGTATAGGAGTACAGGGCTGGTGGAGGCTGGCCGTTCCGCAACCCCAGACGGCACGCTCACTCCTGGTCTGTGGCTCGTCTCTGTAGATGCCCTTCGCTGTCCTGGCTGGCGGTGCCTGGAGTCTTGAGCCAGCGTGCTCCTCCGTCCACAGGAATCGTGTGTCTCACCCCTGAGTCCCTGTCCGCAGTCGTAGTAACCGGCATGCCTCCAAGCTGGGTGCTGCAGCTGTTAGCATAGGAACCATAAGCCTGGCCGTCGTCGGCATCGGCGTACCCGACCTCAGAGCCATGATCCCCGTGGGTCTCCTGTGCCGGGGGTGGCGGCAGAGGCCTGTGCCCTGTTGGGGAAACCGTCTCTTGCTCTGGGGCCGGGAAGTCCTTTCTTCCCCGACATGCTGGCCCTGGTGGGGAACAGGAAGCTGGCGACCCTCGTGGTGCACCAGGTCCAGCTGGCCGGCGGTGACCTCTCCCCGTCCCCAGGTCATCATTTGGGCTGGCACGCCTCTTGCACGCAAGGTGGATTTGGGCAGCTGGCACGCCTGCGTTTTCTGAGCCACCTTTTGCGTGTGATAATCCCTGGAGCTGTGTTTGCCTGATGCCACCATCGGTGCCACGCACGTCCCCGCCGGCACCTGCTTCCGTGGACAGGGGCAGACTCCAGTGAGGGCACGGAGCGGCCCCTGCGGTAGGGGTCCTTTGCTTCCTCACGTTTCCTCAGCTCTTCTTCCTTTGCCTCTTCTCTCACGAGACGACCACTCCTCCCAAAAGCATCCCTGAGGTCCCACAGGGCCACGCAGGGCCACACGAACCTGCTCCAAGGACAGGCGTTTTTGTCGACCACATCAATGTCCTTTTCTCGTCCTTTCCTTCTCCTTTATGAAACTTTTCTATTTCTTGGCCCACCAACCGTCAGTGCATGCACAGGGGGGACCCAGGGAGTCCGGCAGGCAGTTCTCCTCCACACCCACCGGCTGCTCAGGTCCCGGGACTCAGGCTTGAGGTGGACAGGCAGTGAAGGACCCCAAAACCTCTCACCATGTCCATGCCCCAGCGGCACAGAACCCGGGTCAGACACTGTGGCCTAGCCAAGCCAGGAAGCTGGCCTGGTAGCAGCGGCAAGGGGCAGAAACCCGCTGCGCAGCGATCCCCCTGATGTGACCACCTTCCTAGCATCCCATGCTGGTGACCACTCCTCCCAAAAGCATCCCTGAGGTCCCACAGGGCCACGCAGGGCCACACGGGGCTGTGGGCCACCCCACACTCTCTGAGCCATTCAAGGGAGAAGGTTTGCATTCCTGATCCAGAGAGATGGATAAAGCCAGCATGGTCTCCTCCCTTCTGCCTTCTGCCTGCCTTGAAAGCAGGTGTGACATCGGGACCTGCAGCAGCCACATTGCATCCATGAGGCAAAAACACGAGGAAGACCGAAGGAATCTCTGCGATGCTGGTCCTGAAGTCACTGAGCCGCAGAACCAGCTGTGAACCTGGACTTCTTGTTATTTGAAGAATTAAACCCCTGTTTGTTTACGCTAATATCCGTTCCTCTGGTCCCTGCAGCCTTGTGCATCTTCGGTGGACACACTGCCCATTTGCCAGCCGTTCCTGAGGATGGGCGGTTGGGGAGCAGAGCGGGTGGACTCAGTTTCCCGCAGGCCAGTTTGGGAGGCCACTCAGGCACGCAGGTCGAGGTCTGGAAAGAGCTGGTGTGCGGCTCTGGAGCTGGTTGGGGGCCTCTCAGCGGCAGCGGGAGAGGTGAGAACCATCTGCCTGTGACTGTGCTTAAGACCCCCAGAGAAGAGCAGTGAGCAGAGGGAGGGGCTGAGAGAAACACGTGGAGGAAGAGCACGCAGACCGCCCAGGAAACGGAAGCGGCCGCCCACCTGTGGCCACATCAGGAAACCAGGAGCAAGCGTGACTCCACCATTACAGCACCTGGGACACAGGGTGGGAGCTGGGGGCGGGGCTGCCATGGCTCAAGCCTCCGAGCTGATCGGGACTTCAGGAGATACTGGTTTCCACGTCTGCACAGCCAGTCCCAGCCCCTGCTGCTGCCCCGTGTGACCCGGGCTGCTTGGGGTCTCGGGCTACTGCAGGACGCAGGAGGCTGCCGTCGGGAGGTGACTCAGGGTGGCAGAAGGCAGGCAGAGGAAATCCCCACCACACCCGGAGTGAGCTGGTAGCCACTGGCAACCGGCCTCCCCACTCACTTTCTACACATGCCCTTATGGTAACACCCTTGGGAAAGGCTTCCTCTTCCACTTTCTCCCCGAGGCCGTGCCTTTCATGGTATTTCCTCTGTAGTCTGCCTGGGGTGGGGCAGGAAAGAACCGGAGGGGTACCGAGGCCTTGAGCAGGGAATCGGGCAGGTTGGGTAACAGTGACTACACTCACGATTTCCTGAGTGCTCACCGAGGCACGGAGAGGTTAATACGCTTGCCCAAGCAGGTCGACAGGCTGGGCTGCCCCTGGTTTGAAGCATGAACTTAGATAAATCCCAAGCCTTCCCAGCCTCAGGTTCCCCATCTGAGGTAATAATAACAGCAAATCCTGGGAAGTACCTGCTGTAGCTCAGACGCTGTTCTGAGCGCGTTGAGGTGCGGCCTCTGCCTGCCTGAGTCTCACGGCCGAGCGGGGAAGCCGGTCACTGAACAAACAGTGACACAGCTCTGATGGGCAGAGATGCTATACAGGGAAAGCACCTGGGGTTCTGAGCTGCAGCTGGAGCTCAGAGACCATTCGTCTGGCCCCTCAGAGAATCAGTGTGCGGCAGTGGGCGAGAGAGCGTGGCAAGCAGACACTTCTGAGACGGGGGTTACATCCATCGGAGAGAAAAGCAGGAGTGCTGTGCAAGGATGAGGGCCGGGCTTGCTCAGACTGGGAGTGGTCAGGGAGGGCTTCCTGGAGGAAGCAGCACCAGGTCAGCGGGGGGGGGGAAGAGGAGCTGCCACAAGGATGGCAGGCAAAGGAAACATGGAGTGCCAGAGGCCCTAGCCCTGCAAGAGGGGGCACGTTCAAGGATCTGCAGTGGTGGGGAGGGGTCTTCTGAGTGCACCTGAGCACAGAGGTAGCGGGAGAAAGCAATGAGAGAGGAGCCAGTGAGACCAGCGGGGCCCACACACTGGTGAAGGGCCCTTGTGCCTTGCCCTGGGGTGGTGGGGGTGGAGCAGGGGCTGTCGCAAGAGGGCATCAGGGGACCTGTGCGTACCAGAGCAGGAGGGCACAGGTGGGAGAGGGGACTCCAATCCCCGGCTCTGCGGTCGCCAGCAGGGACCTTGGGAAGACTCTTCTCTGCGCTCTGGCTCCTCCCCCCTCTACAAAACGGGGCCCACAGAAGCACGTACATCCCAGGAGGGTCAGCGGGTCCCATTGCAAGAAGCACAGCCGAGAACGCCTGTGAGAGCAGGTACCCTGCCCACTCTGCGTCCCCAGGGCCCAGAACTGTGCTGGGCACATAGTAGGGGCTTGGCAAGGGCCACTGCCTGTGTCTGTGTTTTAGCAAGTCCCCTGGTGGGAAGTGTGGGAATGGTCTACTTTCCCGCTGTGGGGGGGGGGGGGGCAGGCGTGCAGCAACCTCCATCAGCTGTGCCCCTAGAATAACCATTCCCCTGGAGACTGAGCCAGGACCCCTCAGAGCTGATGCCAGCTCAGGGTTCCCCGAAGGCCAGGATGCTCAGGGCTCACACACATTCATGCAAAGTCCAGTTGGGAGCTTGCGCAGGCGAGGCCAAAAGTTAGAAAGACCCTTAGGCAGCAGCTGGTTCAGGTTTTGTGGTTCCTGCACACAGTAGGTGCTCAAACCCTGCTTGTTGGAACTAAACTCACTACCCCTGAGTAGTCCTTTCCATCCTCAGGCCGCTCGGTCTTAGAGAGTCCCGCCGTGGGACTCTGGCGCCCGCCCTTTGGATCCTCTGCTTCGGCCTCGAACAGAACAAATATAGGGCCCGCTCTCGAATAAGGTTTTTGAGGGACAGGGAGGCCAGTGACCCCAGGACCTGGCTCGGGGGCCCCATGAAGGGCTGGAGGGGGTGGCCGTCCTCCTCTGAGGGGCGAGGGCAGGCGAAAAGGACCAGGGAGTGGGAGGGAGACACACGCAGCCGCCCAGCCAGCTCTCGGAGTCCCCTCCCTGACCCACGGACCCGAGAAACAGGAAGCGCCGCCAGCTTCCCACCGCAGCTGTTTCCTGCGGGTTCGAGTTTGCGTGTCAGACCCAGCTGCCAGCGAGAAGTCGTGGGGAAGAGGGGCTGGAATGCGGGGAAGACCCCGCCCAGCGCCCCAGCACCCCAGCACCCCAGCACCCCAGCACCCCAGCACCCCAGCACCAGCCTCTGTCGCTCCCCGAGGCCATTCGTGATCCGTCCTGTAAGCATGAGCTTCTCCCGCCGCTTCCCGCGCGCACACGCAGACCCGCGCGCACACGCAGACCCGCCTTCCCGCTGTGCCATCCAGGCGTGGGAAACCCCACCCCAGGCCGCACTTCCAGCCAGTTCCACCGCGGGCCCTGCGCTGCCCGCTTCGGTCCGGACCAGCCTGACCATCCCCAGCGACCCTCTAGAGAGTCCCCTCCTCACAGTTAGCTCACTCCGTGTTCGACATGCCCCGCCGCTCCGATGCTGGAAGGCGGGTGCCCAGCCCGGAGTCCCGGGCCCGGCTCCCGCGGAAGCGTCAGAAATGCCGCCAGAGATGAGCCAACCCCGCGAAGCTGCGCTCCGCACGTGGGCCTTGCTGCTTGCTCCCTGGGCCCCGGGGAGGTGCACTCTTTTCCCGGGGCCCCTGTTTGCTCATCTGTATGATGGCAGGACTGGGCGAGAAGGATCTACGGACATTTTCCAACTCAAAGAGCCACTCATGTAACCATCCAGAGCATTTACTGAGCACCTAGTCTGTACCAGCATCGTTCTGCATCCTAGGGATACGGCAGTGATTCAAAGAGACAAACACTGTACCACCCTCATCGCACTTAGTTCTAAAGGCGGAGCCAGTGATCAAGAAAACAAATGAACGAGTCTAGCAGATTATGACAGTAATATAAGGACTGTACAGAAAAAAGAAATAGGGCAACGGGTCAGAGGACAGTGGGGGTTAGTCGGGGAGGGCTGCTTGGAGGAGGTGACATTTGGGCCTAGCTCTGGATAAAGAGGGAAGACCAGCAAAGTTCTGTATTCCATTTGAACAGAAGATGGAAAGCCGTTACTGACCACAATGTGGAGCTGCGAGCTCGGTTGGGGAGACAGATTGCCTGAGATCCTATCTAGACTCTGCCACCCACTCCTGTGTGACCCTGGGACAGTCACTGCCCATCTCCGAGCCTCGAGTCTTCACCCGTGCCTGAGGGAGGTGAACCACAGCTTAATTTCCTTAAAATGGTTCTGGGAGTCTGCATTTCTGAGTATTTGGGCTCTGACTCAGCTCCAGCCTCCCCACTTCTGATATTAACAAGGGGCTGTAGCAGGGCCGGCCTCTGTCCCCCGAGGCCTGCTGGGAACAGTGGGGACGCCCGGGGAGGGCAGTGCCCTGCACTCACCTCTCAGCCCGCAGCTGCTGGGCCACAGCCATGGCCCTCAGCAGTCCAGGAGAGTGGGTGACAGAGGGCCTCCGCCCGCCAGGCCAGGCTGGGTTCACCTCTCACTTCCCTCCAGCCACCCTGCGTCTGGGCCGTGGTCTCAGGGGTCCACGCGAACCGCCTTTGGGGAGGCTCCGCCCCTGCTTCTCTCAGCTCGAGAAGAGGCCCCTCCTCCTGGCTCTCTGGGACTAGCCAGTGGCCCCTACTTCCTCTTCCCCATCCCCCTGCTGTGCTGCAATCAGGGAAATGCACCCCCTCAGAGGTCAGATTTGCAGGAACCCGCTGACCTGGGGGCTTTGGGGACTTCCTCGATGCCCGTTCTTGGTGGCAGGCCTCAGGTGGGCATCAGAGACAGGGTCTCAGTGCTGGCTCAGCCACCATGGGGCCTTGTGACCCCCTGGGGAGTCTCTCCTCGTCATCCGGCTCATCAAACCCAGCCCGTGCACCCCCACTGCTGAGCCCTTGCTGAAGTGAGTCCCTGGGTCCGGAGCGCTGGCCTCCACCATGCCACCACCCAAGCCCAGCTCAGATGCCACCTCTTTCAGGAAGCCTCCCTGGTTCCCCCAACAGGTACTGCTCACAGGCTCTTCTGTCGTATTCGAGTGCCAAGGTTGGCTTATGCCTCCGCCTTTGCCGGGAGCTCTGCCTGTACTTTCCTCGTTGGACACACACGGGCCTGGCACAGCCAGTCCTCTCTGCAGGGCTGCTCACCGGGGCGAGCACCTGTTACAGACCTAATCGCACCTTCAGTGCTGAAACTCCTCCACGGCTCACCCTGCACTTGGAAGGAAGTCAAACCCAGCCCTGCCTCCCTCTGCAGCTCTCAAGGTCCTGCTGGCTTCCCCAGCCCCCTCTCCCGGGCTGCCCCCTTCCCACACTGGCCTCCCTTCCATTTCCAGAATGCTCTAAGATGTCTGCCCCTCGGAGCCCTCGTGCATGCTGTTCCTCTGCTGGAATGCTCTTCCCTGCCTCCTCTGGGGCTCGGTTAGGAGGTCACCTGTTTGGCGAGGCCTGCCCTCCCCCAGCCGAGTGAATGAAGGCCCTCCCTGTGCTGTTCTCTCCCAGATCCCTGTACTTGATCTTCGGAGCAGTTGGAACTGCTGCCATTTCATACTCGTCTGCATATTTATATGTTTAACGACAGCCTCCCTGGCTATTGGGTGCTGCAGGGAGCCCTCGGCGAAGTCCCCAGCCACATCCAGGAACCCCAGCGGCTGGCCACACACACTCAAATTCACACTCACGCACCCACTACAGGTGCACAGCAGAAAGGGCAGAGATGAGGATGCAGCCGTGCCCTGGCATCCATGAGTCACAGAATGGGCCCTTCTGACTCCCTCGGCCCCCAAAACATGCTGCCATAGGACCCCCAGGCCTGGGACAGGTGTCTGCGGGCACGGAGTCAGCTGGGTGGAGCCTGGAGCCAGGGTCTCCCGCTGCAGACCCTGTGTCATCTCCCAGACGAAAGGACTGGGGACGGGAGCCATCTTCAGGATCCCAAGGGCTGCCTGGCTCCGAGAACGGGGAGCAGCTGGCAGCCTCAAGCCCTTCGTCTGAGCCTCTTCTCTGTCACCCCAAGGGACCCGCTGCCCCAAACAGAGTTCCGGGGGGAGCAGAGTCCCCAGGAGGAAATGGGCTCCGGGCCCAGCCCCGCAGCCCAAAATGACTGCTCATCCAGGCCGGCAGGATCAGGGGCTCTTCCGAACCAGACTCCTTTCTGGGCTCCCCGGGAGGTGAGGCCGGAGCTGGGGAAAGGCAGAGCAGAGGACACGAAGGGAGAGAGACCCAGCCAACGACTATTTACGGAGGAACACTTGGACTACAGAGGTGAGTTCAGACGGCAGGCAGGTCGAACGCAAGTTGAAATTTCCCATCCTCCTCCAGCCGCATCAGATACGCTGGATGATGCCTGTTTAAGAATTTTAAACATCTAGAACCCAGCTCAGAGGCAAGAGAGCATCATTTTCAGGTTTTAAGAGAGGAGGAGCCTACACCAGTAAGAGAAGCGGGGCGCAACACCCCATGGGAAAACCAAGGCTGTCGGGGCCGAGATTCTGGCGCTAGTCTGGGTCTCGGTCCAGGCTCCCGTCCTGGTGCTCGGGCAGGAAGTCAAAGCTGAGCTCCCAGGACGAAGCCGGTGTCAGGACTGATTAGAAGAGCAGGCTTCCCAGCTGTCAGCCCGGGCTGCTGCAGGGGTTGAGATGCTCCCTCCCAAGCCACGGGAGGGGGGAGGAGTGCGGGCCCTGGACCCGAGCCTGGAGCCTGCTGCATGCACGAGTGGGGCCCAGATCCAAGCCTGCCCCCCGGGGCAGAGCTCCCAAGGTGAGGCCTCACATCACGATGTCTGGAGTCCACGAGGCTTCACAGGCCCCCTAACCCCAAACCACCCATCATGCAAAGAACGCCTGGCCCGGGAAGCCCAGCTCAGCACAGCGAGCTGCGTGCTGAAGAGTTTGCACCTGAGGACGGGGAAATCTTAACAAAGGATGACTCTGATCCGAGCACTGGCGGCTCGGGGCTGCTAGTCTGAGGATGAAACAATTCGGTGAGGGTCACAGGCAGGGTCGCAGCTGTGACGGGTAGGTACCAAGAGGTCCGAGCACCTTGGTGTGGTCAGGGACAAAGCCGCTGACCTACAGTTGGTCACGGAGGCTGGAAGTGACACCAGTGTTTGCAAAAAGCTGTGGTGCAGCCCGGGCACGCGATTGTGTGTATCGCCACACGCGTATATTCGAAAGCATATGCCGTGTTATACACAAATGTCGGTGTAAAAAATGGCCAAACCTGTAGTGAATTTTAATGAGTTTATTTGAGCCAAACATGGACGACGGTTGCCAGGAAGCAACATCTCAACGGACTGAGAGAATGCCTCAGAGAACGGCAGTTTCGCAGCTGACTCGGTACCTTAGCCTCAAAGGCGGAGACGGAACGGGTCACACGAACCCCGCTGGGAGTGGATTAAGGGGGTGGGGAAAAAGCAAAGTGGGAAAATCTCTGGTGTTGGGTAAAAAGTCTAACAGAGAAACACACACTTCTTTTGCCCTGGTGGGTACGACACAGTTAATCATAGACGTTTACAGCACACAGAGATGGCATTTGGGGAACCAGACAGCACTGAGGGGCCCTGTGGCCTCCGCTCAGCGAGGGGCCTGCAGAAGGAGAGCGCGCTGATCTCTCCGAAGGGCTGTTACCTTAGAGGCAAAAAGACAACAGACAGCCTCACCTACAGTAAAGACTGGCCTTTGTCTGGGAAGCCACTGCAGGTCCATGCTGTGGCTGCCCACCAGGCAGGCCCCCCTGAGCTTGCTGCTTTTAGTAGGCGGCCCCTTTCTCGTCCCCGGTGACGTGTCTATAAAGACATACACTCCTGTAGGCCAGGGTGGGCGTGTCTGTGCCGTGTCTCCACAAGAGCCCCCCGTGTGCGCGGTGGTGGCCTGTGCGTACGAGAGGGCGTACTTGGATGCTCACATCCAAGTCTGCGCACAGTGGGCATCCACGTGAACACGTTCATACCAAGTTCATGTGCCCCTCCTGACCCTTTCTTGACCATCTGTACACCAGGCTTACCCACTGGGGCTGTAGCAAGAATTCACAAGAAAAATGCAAAAATGCCTAGACACACAGGAATTTCGTATTCGTGTTTATAGTTTTCTGTGTGTGTGTGTGTATGTGTGTGTGTGTTAGGCAGTGCAAGCCCTCAAGTTCAGCTTCCCAGGTTTCTTGAGGTCTTACCTTCCTATCCACACCCCCTTGGCCCCAGAGAGCCTCCCAAGGCTCTGACTCAGCCACCAAGCAGCACAAGGTTGTCCAGGGAAGGGCCCGGGCCTGGGGCGGGCCTTCTCCCCCCACCCCTTCTTCTGTCCCTGCATGGTTCTGCTGAACGGGGGCATCTCTCTGGCTGCTCACACACAGAACCCGCTGCTAATTCTGCACCCGGGCTCTGCGATCACGTCATTGGAGGCCAGACACTTTGTCAGCAGTGGGCTCCCGTCCCGCCGCTGCCGCGGTTCTGTCTCCCATTGCCCACCCGGGACTAAGAGACAAACTCTTCATTCGTCCCGTTAAGCAAGTATTTCTCCAGCCCTCGGGGAGGGTGCAAAGAAAGGCCTGAAGTGATCTCCCCGCCATCAGAACACAGCCTCCAGTCTCCACAGCCTGCGAGTGAGTCAACGAGCAAACAATCCAATGGTCACCGATCAGCCGGAACGGGTAGGCGCGGCTCGAACACTAAAGCGTAGGTGCTTTTTCCTTAGGAGAAGCCCCTCCCACCCGCCCTCCCCTGCCAGGTTACATCCGGAGCACCCCAAACCCAGCAGCTGAAGCAGCTAGTTAGGAGGACAAGAACTGCCAGGAGCAGTGAGAGCAAATGACAGTGAAGTGACATTCTGACAGTGGCAAAGAAGATGGAATGCTGGGGGGAAAAAAAAGAAAGGCTCAAGAACTCAAAAACAAATGAACAAATGCGGGGCCTTTGCAGAGAAGAGAAGTGCGGATGCCCTGTGAGAAGCTCCCTCCCGCCATTCGCAGCCACGCCTCCCCGAAGAGGTTCGATGCTCTCAGACCAGACCCGGGGGATTCCCAGCACTGGCTCTAAAAGTCACAAAATGCACGTTCGCGCGCTGGGGACCCAAAATAAAGCACAGCGCTCAAGTTAGAGGTCAGGAAACCGTCCTCCTAAAGGCCCCCGCTGTGGGAAACGGAGCACGGAGACAGGTGGTGATGGGGGGAGGGGAGTTGAGCCCTTGCTGCAGGACCAGGAGATGCCCTAGGGAGCTCATTATGGGAACTCTGCGGATGCCGGCTGCCTGAGTCAGCGGCCCTCCTAGGGAAGGGAAGGAAGATCCCAGATTAGACTAGCAAGATTCTGGAAGATCCCTCACACACTGCATTTTCATTCCCCAATCCTGACCCACATGTGTCTCCCTTCATAATTGATGAGGGAAGCGCCACTGGATCGCCTGCTTGAGCCATAAATAGCCGCCTCTGGGACACCCAGGGAGCAGTATGTGAAGACCGCAGGCTGAGGCGGAGGCCCCGCCCCTCCGCGAGGCCCCGCCCCTCCGTAAGGCCCCAGCTTGCGCAAGGCTGCTCAGGAACCCAGGTGCCCTGGCTCCCGCATGTGCCAGCTGTGCGTCCTC